CACATTGAATGATACATTAATTACAGCTGAGGAATGCTGCAATTCCTGTGGAAGTCTCCATGGTGTTCTAATTTATACCAAGCGTAGTCATTGTGCTTGGTGTGATTTAAAATGAAAATGAATTGTCCTAATAGGAAAATGGCTTTCAAAAGCCAGTATGTTTTTTGGAAATCAAACAGCCAAAGGAATGTAAGCCACATAGGGGAAAAAATAGTGTATCTTTTGTTAGAAAGTTCTTCCTAATATAATAGTGTAGACTCTTACCAAAATCCTGTAATGAACCCAGATTATGTTCCTTTTAGTATTCATGATACCTTGAGAGCAGTTTAGAGGAAAGAAGGACAGAGCCAAGGGGCTTTAGTTCCACTCTAATTGTAAAACCTGTGGAGACTTCAATTCAGTAATTCAGAAATTCATGGAAATGGCAGTAGCAGCCTGTGGTGTCAGCTGAGCTGGCGTTTGGACGACTGTGCCAGTAGGCCAGTCAGATTGCATGGTTGGCGCCATGTCCTTCGTTGCAGGTGAGAGGGCTTTGGCCTGGCTGTATGGGAACTCTGAGCATGTCTTGGTAAATGTGTCCCTGAAACAACAACTGAGAGTGGCTAGTGAAGAAAGGACAGAGCTGGTCAGAGTCTATGAGTAAAAAGGCACGTTGCCTGGGCACGGTGTTTCTGTATGTGCACATGTATACGTACAAGCATGGTCACTCTGTGGTCCATAATTACATGATCTGTGATACTGTTTTATATGTATTCCTTCTTTTATATTGTTCCAACTTCAATTTTTCTTTGTGGAATTGTTTTTGTGGTAATGTTCACCTAGATTTGTATCAAAGGTACTTCAGGAACTTCCCATGCTTGACTTTATAGTCTTGTAAACCATTATACTCCGATCTCTCAATACCTTTGTCTATGTATATATGTACATGTCTCTGCAAAGTGTGGGTTTAAGATGCAAGTCTGGTTATTGGGCATGCTCGGGTAGCAGAAGACTTAGCTTGTAGTACAGCCTATGTCAACTGGGGACAACGTGTCTTGGAAAGCACGTGCACAGAATAGCTCAGCAGGGTTGATGTCTGAAGTATGACTGGCAGACTAACACTGCATGACCAGCTCCTGTGCTGGTCTTTCATGTCTCACACACAGGGTAAGACATCCTCTCCCTTTGCATTTCACTGTTTGGGTGTTTTTTAATATACAGGATCTTTTCTCAGGAGCTGCTGAAAAATGCAGGAATCGTGCATGCTTGCACACATGCTCGTGCTTCTACCCCTTTTGATTTCAAGGCAGATGAAGAGTTTTACTCTGTCTAATCCCAGAATGTTTTCTCTGGTCTCTCAAATTCTTATGTTATTGATGACTACACAGAAACTTTCAGACACCAGGGCTGAGTGCCATAGGCAGGATCATGCTATACACAGGCTGTTGACTTAAACCTGAGCATCATGCCATTTTTGGCTGGCTGGGACAGATACAGGCTGTTAGACTTGTCAAACGCTGCTAAGCAGCAGGAGGTGGGAGGGATTTGAGACTGTATATTCTGTAACTCCTGGTTGATATGTCCTGGGAACGCTTGTACAGATGCACTTCTTGCAGCACAGCACCTAGACCACAGTGTATGTAAGGGCGATGCAATTGAAGATGACTCCCATCTTCAATTGCCTGGCTGGCCTCTGCCTTGAAGTGAAATGCAGAGGCCTGACAGAACACCTAGGACTTTAAAGGCAAGTTTTAAAAGCATTTCAGGCAGGCATTTGAAGAAGGGACAACGCATAGGGAATGCACCTGGGTAGCCATATTCCTCCTGTGCAGCAGTCACCCTGGAGATGCGATTTACTTTCAGTCAAGTTGGCTTAATGAAACTCTTCTGCTGTGGTAGATCATCCTGTTAGATCAGTTGTAGCCTTCTTTGTAGATCCTCCATCAGTCTGCATGTTCTGGTGAAGATTCAGCAGACCAGTGAAGACCTTCAGACTGGTACGACTTGGATCCACTCTCCCTCTCAAGGAAGCTGAGGAGAGCCTCTTCTGTGAGCCCTGTCCCCAGGCACCAGAACCATGACTTCTCCCAGCTTAGAACTCCTTGCCCCTCAGCAACTGTACAGGACCTTTCTGCTTTCCCACCGTGGCTGACCTTCTAAACACCACATGATAAAGGCATTGCAGAGGCAATAAACCCAGGAGGGAAATAATTGACACTTAAATGCAATTTAGCTGAGAAAGAAAATGTTCATGTCTGCCACAGCTTAGAGAAACAGTCTGTAATGTGGAACTGAAGACCTAAGAATTGGCTGTTTGTAATTCAAACCCTGCAGCTTTGATCTGTGTCTTGAAAGCATGGGGAACAAGTTAAAGGACATAATCAAAGTGAACAGGCAGCATAGTAAGCATGGGAAAACTAGTCACCTGAGCTGATTTTTTTTCTAGTTCCCAGGAGCCAAAAATCCCAAGCAATTTCAGGCCAACAAAAGCCAAATGCTGCCAGAAAAACTTGTCAGACTGATAAAATGCTTCACAGTGCTAGAAAGACAATAGACAAGCAACCTCTTCTTTCATTTCTGTCCGTAAAAGCTGCATGTTTGCTCCTTTCAGGAATCTTAGCATGTGATTGTCTGGGGTTTGGGTGGCTTTTTTTTTTTAACCTTCTCATGCTGGATGGAGACTGGTGTGCTTTCTGAACATTGCAGCTTCCCGATGATAGCCTAAAATCTGCATCCTGACATGTGAGACCCCCTGGAAACTGCCTTTATTATATCCCAGATAAATAATTCACAGGATGAAGAGGGTATTTCTGTCTCCAGGTTCATTCAGTTCATATCTTTGGGAAAATAACAGCGACATTATCCTCTTCCTGGTGGGATCTTCTTGTGGGAAGAGCTGTGAGGTTTTTTTTTAATGTTCGTGTACAATTTCTAACCACGACTTTTATATTTTCCTGTGTTTCTCTAAGGCAGGTAACACCCCTCTTCACCTGGCTTGCCAGAATAGCCATTCCCAGAGCACTCGTGTTTTATTACTTGGAGGATCTCGAGCAGACCTCAAAAACAACGTGAGTTTTGAAAAGAACGTGCTCATTTTTGTGTGCCTTTGTTTTAGCTGTTACTTTAACTTTTGGGAATACTCAGAAATACTTTCAGCTGTGGTTTTTGCTATAAATGCTACTGAAAAATGCCACTAACAAACCATTGTATACATCCTGTGCAGGAATGGTTCTCATAGGACTGAACAATGTACTACTTGTATCCGTCTCTTGAGTGGGGATGGAAGGAGTCATAGGGGGTTTTGCTGTTGCACAGACTGAGACAGCTGGTCCTTTGCTGCTTTTTGAGGTCCTGATGGCCTGACTCATACACTGTTGTGCAGTTCTGCAGAAGGGTTCTTCTTTCAGAAAGATGAAAGACTTAAAAGGGGTTTTTATGCCAGACTGGTGAAAGTCTTCAGACCTGCCCCATTGAGACAGATCATGTGTACTGTGTGTCGATCTGTCATGACGTAGATGGAAGGTGACTTCAGTTTCAGACAGCTTTCCTCCTATTTTATAATGAGAAGGAAGCCAGATGTTTTTGTCCCTTGCTTGATAGCAAGGTGGGCAGAGGCACACAAAGTGAAACCCATGGGGTTCTGCTCCCAGCGCCAGCTGCGCATGTGCCACCCCTCCTGGGGATGCTGCTCTGTCCCCCGCTCCCATATTTATTCATTATGTGCAGCACCATTGAGCATCCAGACCACATTGGTTTGTGGTTCAGAAGAACAGATTTAATGTAAAAATGTAGATCAGGTTTTGTAGTGCAGGAAAGCAGCATTTTGTGATCCCAGTATTTCCCACCAGTGGTTAAAGAATTTCTACCCCCAGCTTGCCTGGGCCCAGCTCTTGCTAAATCACACACACACACACTCACACCCACTGCGATAGCAGGTTTTGTACTGCAGAGGAGACAGCATTGCTGTTCAGTGGAGGTGTGTGGCACTTGCTGCTCTCTTTGGTTTAATAGGATTGTTTCATCCTTGAATGCCTTGACAAGTGCAAGCTTTACTACTGCGATTACATGCTCAGAGCTTTGTTTCTGTTTGCAGGCAGGAGATACCTGTCTGCATGTGGCTGCTCGTTATAATCACTTGCCCATCATTAGGGTGCTGCTCAGTGCTTTCTGTTCTGTCCATGAAAAGAACCAGGTCAGTGCATGAACCTCATTGTGACTTTGTGCCCTTTGCATATGGCTAGTTGTTGGGAAGAGGGATTCCTACCCAAGTGATCCCACTTCACTCTGTGTTTCACTGTACCACCAAATGCTTTTAAGAACAGCCTTAAAGTAATAGCATAAAAGTGGTTTATTATTTTGCCATCACATTTGCATCATTTCTTTAAAGCATTGCCTATTTATGAGGTTCTGCAATCATATGTTGGTAATAGGAAGGGGGTCTGGGACGGTAGTGGCATGAGGTTAGGAGTTGGCGCACTTGGGGCCTTATCAGTTCTTAGCAGAATGGGACTGGGCAAGAGACTTGGTTGTTTTATGGGGGCCCATTTTCTCCTCTGTAACTAGGATTTAATGATCCTGTGGCCATTACAGAGACATTGTAAAGCAGAACTCACTAACATTCAGATACTATAAAAGTGCAAATTCCTCTGAATAATTTTCTTTGCTGCATTTGCAGCATGGGGAATTGAAATAACATAAAAGTGAAGAAAAAATATGCTTTAAATTCAAAGTAATGGTCAGTCTAACCTAGGATTAATCATCCATAGCTGTTTATAGAGAAGTGATTGATTTTATACCTATAGCATAGCCTAATTGTGTGGTAGAAGGGAATGGATTTAGTACATCAAGATGTATTAAATCTGCTAAATAAATAGTTTATGTGGTGCTTAACCACATCGTCTCACGCTCCTGGGAAACTTTCCATGTGTGGTTGAGCATCATAAAGATGTTTTCTGATGTGTACATTTAATCTTGTTTCTCAGATATGAGCTATTACACCAAACAAAAAGGGTTTCAGTATGTTGAATTTACTGTGTAATTTTATTTGGAAATGAGTCTTTAAACTTGCAAAATGAGCTACTGAATATTAAGATTAACCGGTGTGAACCTGGCCCAGAGAGACACCCCTTCCCTCCATTCCCCAGCACTACCCAAAGTTGTTCCATATTTGCACATATAATGATTTTATGAGTACACCTCAGCCAGGTTAGCGACAAGCAGCAGACATCCACTAGTCTCAAGAAGATGTAATTTTCTGAAGGCAGAATGCAAGGCAGAGGAGACAGGAAGGCATTACATCCACATGTCCCGTCTCCTTTGAACAGCTGCTAACTGTGTTAGTGGTACCCGAATCTGATCACACCTGTCTTCACCTGTCTGTGCTGGGACAAGGGCAGGGCAGTGTGTTATGCAGGACCTGGATCGCTCCTGGCTTTCATCCAAACCCTGTTTTTCTTGAGGAATCTCCTGAAGGGAATACCAGCCACCACGCTGCTTGTACCTACCTGGCTGGTTTTGAGTAACGTGAGAGTTGACCGTCTGTGCACCAAATAATCAAACCCAGAAAAAAGAGAAGGATGTGGTAGGAAAACCGGTTCTGCCCTCTGATGTCTTATCCATTTGCTGGTGGTAGAGCTGGGCTGCCTCCCGGCTGCATTGTGTATCACTTGTTTCAGTTAAACCAGATCACCAGCACCCCGGCTGCGTTTCTCAAAACCAGGCTGAAGCAGGTCCTTGCCCTGAAGTAGTTTCTGCCCCCTCCTGTCCCCTTCCTCCTAATTCTATTTTTCTTACTGAACAGGCCTTATTTAAGCTCAATGAGTGCAGGTCTCTTGAACTCTGAGCCTCTTTTAGGGAGGTGTGATTTCTGCAGGGTGAGACCCAAGGACGCGTGTTACACCGTTGTTCTTTGCTTTCTGACTTGCAGGCAGGGGATACTGCGCTCCATGTAGCTGCTGCTCTCAATCACAGGAAGGTGGTTAAGCTGTTGCTGGAGGCAGGGGCTGACACATCTGTTGTCAACAATGTAAGCAGCACAGAGTTTTGTTGGTAACTTATATTAATGCAGACTCCCTTCAATGCTCTTTGTAGCGCTGGTAGAAAGTAATTTGGGTGTTAGAGCTGAATTAAATTGGGGTAAATGAAAGCAGTTAACTTCACTCTTGTGCACAGAGCATGTACTAACTTTGGGTGGAGAAATCCCACATTTCCAGGGGCTTCTGTTTGGAAGGAAATGCCATTTTCTTTTTCCTCTCAGGCAGGTCAGACCCCTCTAGAGGTTGCCAGACAGCACAATAACCCTGAGGTTGCACTCCTCCTCACTAAATCATCACAGGTACGTTACAGATCTTCCCCAGTACACACATACACTTGGAGCCGAGTCCAGTTAACCTTGAGAAGTCACATCCTCTTCTGCTGTGAAAGGTGCCTGTGTTTCTGCTGGCACTGTGTGCTGGCCTCGGGTATGTTGATGTGGAGCTTTTCAGCCCCCAAGCCCAGCAAGGTGTGCAGATTAAGCCTCCACAGCATTAAGCGCTGTCAGAGATCCCACTGGCCTGACTGGCAGAGGATGGAGCAGCCAGAGGCACTTGTTTGCCATTGTGGCCCAGGGGTTAGAAAGCTACCCTGTACCCTAAAGTTCCTGGGTTGTGTTGCTCTGCTGCCTGCTTCAGGCATCTCTCATCCTCGTTGCACTGGAAGATGCTTAGAAATGGGGACAAAATGTCCTGTTTGTACTGTGCTGCTGCATGTGAAACGCTGCAATGCTCTTCGGGTCAGAAGGCACATGGTAGGGCTCTCTATTCTGGTATGAGACAAAGTGCGGTTGCTGCCCTGCTCCTCTTTGTTACCTCTGAGTGAAAAGGGCTGGGCTTGGCTTGGCAACCAGCTGGAGGACACAGGAGGTGCTTACCTCTCCAGGGAATTGCAAAGTGTCCTTACAGACTTGCCTTAGTGGTGGTGTGTTTTCACAGCTATTGGCACCCATGGTGCTTGGCCCATCAGTGTTCATCTGGCAACACATTCTCCTTTATCCATTGCCTTTCAGACAGAGGTGAAAAGGGTATTACTCTATTACTTGGCTTCTGTGGTAAGAAAGAGCATGACATCACTGAGTAACAGTGTGGTCTGTCTTCAGGTCTCACGCTTTAACCGTGGAAGAAGCCTGAGGAAGAAGAGAGAGAGACTGAAGGAGGAAAGGCGAGCTCAGTCAGTACCACGAGATGAAGTGGTACAGAGCAAGGTATAGCTCTACGTTACCAGCTGCGTCTCCTGTGAGGGGGGATTGTAAATTCCATCAGGACCAAAGCTCTTTGGAGCCATCACTTGTGCATGAACACAGCAGCTGTCTGAGGCAGTCTGTGGTGCTGTGCTGCTAAAGGGTTGCTCACTCATGTGTGCAGAGCAGCTTAAAACTGGGCAACTGAAGAAAAGGCACCTTTTCTCCATCTATGCAAACACTCTGAACTCCCTGTCTTTGCTTCAAGCAGGGTAGCATCTCAGCTGCTGATGACACACCGAGCAGTGACCAGCCACCACAGAAGAAGAGTGATCTGAAGGATGAACCCCAGTCAACCTCACCTGATCTCAAAGGGAAAAAGAGTAAAAAGAAAAAGCCAAAGGAAAAGGTATGAGTAGGTTTAAAACAGCAGAGGGAAGGGATAATTGTTGAGCAATAGTTCTGTTGTCCCGTGTGTTGGCGAGTCAGGGCAGCAGGCCTGCCATGCTCATGGGCAGAGGTAGTAGTCTTCAGACAGAAACAGATTGTGTAATTGTCACGATGGGTTTGTCCTGTTCCCACCATGGGGCTCATAAATGGGGCAAACGTTGTATGTATTTCCTGCAGATCTTGGCACTCTCAGACCCCATCTCCCCAGCCGATCAGCAGACACTCCCTCGGGCCCAGCAAAACGTGCCTAAGCGCAGAAGTAAGCATCACTGCTTCTCTCCACCGCCTCCCCACGAGGTCCGAGCCTACCAGCTCTACACGCTTTACCGAGGGAAGGATGGGAAGGTGATGCAGGTGAGCTGGATACTGCCCTCCTGAAGCGGGATGTCGGAAGCAGCGCTCGGGACACTGGTAGCTAACAGATAGAGAATGTGCTCAACTAACTGCATTCTGGGGGGTACGGAATCATGACTGTGGGTTTGTTTTCCTTGTTTGGGCTTCAGCAGCATTTTGGCCTGAAGTCTGATAAACAATAGTCTGGGTTTGTGTGTGTCAAAGAAGATATACTTCAATAGTTTTGATTTGCAGAGTATTTCCTTTTTGGAGATAGTGTGACCAGTGAGTGGAAACAACATTGGAACTTTGATGATGCACTTTGAAATACTGAGATGGCAAAGGCCTTTTCTAAGGAGAGTAACTGAGAACAGTGGGTGAGCACTGAAGCTCACTAAACCAAGAGCTTAAGCACTTTTCTTTCTGTTTATTGCAATGCATCTTTAGGAATTCTAGGATTACTGGAGGCAGGAGCTATACAGAAACTGATTCACAAATAAATCTGGAGTTACCAGCTCCTGGGCATCTATTCCAGCTTAGAGCCTGACAGTCATTTTATTATGCAACTATTTAACAGTACACATTTATTTAAAAAAAGGCATGAAACCAGCAAATTTCCCTGTAGACACTGTAAGTGTCCATATTATGTTCTTAATGTTGCCCTCCTGTACCTCTGGGATTTCAATCTTTCCATTTCCTTAGCTTCTTAGAGCCATCATCCAGCTCTCCTCTGTCCCTTGCTGTAGTTAAAAAATTCAGAGAGACTGAAGTTCTCTCAAGGCAGACTTCAGGAGGTTTTACCATCTCCCTGTGTAATGCTTGGAAAATTTCCAGACAGGCACTGCAGGATCATCCTAAGAGAGAATATGAATTATATGTCCTAAGAGAGATTATGAAAGCTCCTACACCAGGAGCTTTCATATGTTGAATGGAGTATTTCCTTGCCCCTGGGATCTGATGGTAGGAGATGGGCTGGTAGGAGAGACTTGGGGAGCAGGAAGAAAGGTGCAGAGAGCAGACAGGATTTGTGCACAAATATAATCAATTCACAAAGATTAGCTTAATAGAGCTAGACACCCTTACATAGTATTTCTTGAAATAAATGACACAGCTCTGTCTCGTCTGTCGTCTTTGATGTTCTCAGGCTCTGAAGAGCAGATTTTCTTGAGTACCTGTATTTCTGAAACTTTCTTTAGTGCTCAGCAAACCAATCACCTTCCCCTGCCAAGGGAATAACCCTCAATTTGTGAAACAGTACTGCAGGGCCAGAGGTGAGAGGGAAGGAGTCTCCTCTGTGGACAGATTCAGAGCAGCCGCTTTGGGCTCCTGACTTGCCTCTTGAAGGAGCAGATTCCAGCCTTCAGACTGCAGAGGAAGCCAAAGAGAATCAGCTGTCCTTTTGTAAGGGAGCCTTTTGAGACCACCTCCCTGAGAGATTTAAATGTGGTCATGCAGCTCCCCTTGCAGAAGCGCGTTGGGACTTGGGACAAGTGAGTCAAAGGCAGCGATGTGCACAGCAGGCAAGGGTCAGCTGAATGTCAGCAGGGTGAAGGCAGGCAGGAGCAGTGACACAGCACCAAAACAAACAGAAAGAGCACATTATTGTCATTAGGTTAGAAAACAAATGCACACAAAACCACACATGTCCACAAAACCTTTTTTTTGGTACAGTTCAGAACTGCAGCATGTGATGTGGGATCCCTTTACACAGCACACAGTACCGTGGCGTACATGAGCTGAGCTCATCGCTGCTTGTAGCCCCAGCGAAATCAACACTGCTGTGTGTTAGGCTGTGCCCATATAAATCATATCAAGCCTGTTCTAGTCTGTACTTTTCCCACTAATAGCCTGTTTGCTGAGCTACTTTAAGATGTTATCAGGAGTTTGAGATACAGCACATGGTACAGAAGAGCCCATAACTGGACTGGGGAGGCTTTCCAAGTTCACCAAGAGGACAGTGGGATGTAGCAAGTTAATGTATGACTCTTTTCAGGCACCGATAAATGGATGTCGTTGTGAGCCCCTGATAAATAAACTGGAGAATCGGCTGGAGGCAACAGTGGAAGAAATAAAAGCTGAGTTTGGGACAGTACAAGATAAGATGAATATTAAGCTGGGCCAGATGGAAACCAAAACTCAACATCAAGTAAGACTATGACCTGGAGGTCTGCTTGCCCATATGAAAACATATCCTAAGCTTAATGAACATTTTTGTTGCCATGATTCACTTAATTGCTTCTGTGTGGTAAAATGAACCTGAAATGTAATACTCTAGCCAGGGAACTGTGATATTCCACAGGGATCTAATGTTGAAAACTAGTCTTGCAAAACCCACATTTAATGTGTAAAGTGGCTTCTGGTGCTTTTTTAGACAATAAATCTAAACTGCTTGAGGCTGTAAGAGGGGAAATTTAAAGACAGAAGGCAGTCCTACAGCTCATCAGTTTATAATTGTAAAAATCCCTCTTGCTGAATTCTGCTTGCACTGAGATTCAAGATCCTCTAAATTATTTGTTGTTTTTAATGTAATTGTTATCCATCACTAATTCTGTGATTGAACCTTTTTGCAAGCTACATCTCATTGTTGTTGGCAGCAGTCCTAGAAATGAACAATGAAAGACAGACAGTACTTTGACTTACAAGGTTCACAGGTAGGGGGGAGGGTGGTTTGGTTTTTAACATGATCACCTCAGCTAAGTTACGGTGTGTTTCCCCCCACCCCAGCTCCGTGTTTTAGACAAGCTCATGGCTGAGCGGCTCTCGGCAGAGAGAACAGAGTGCCTTCACCGCCTGCAGCAGCACACCGAGCTGGAAAAGAAAGAGGGGGAGAAACAGCAGGTAGGGCTTGAACCAGCTACTCCCTGTTAGCCCAGATGGATCAGCTCAAGAGTTTCGCACCAGCAGGCAGAGGGAATATTGGCGACTTCTCTGCAAAAAGAGACAAAAGAGCTTCAAAGACCAAATTGTTCGCTGGTATCACCACCTTACTCTCTAAACCAACTTTATAAAGCTTTTGCATTAGAAATGGAGAGCGTGAAATCCCGTCTGTCTGTCATAATTTAATTTGGTGGTTCTGAAATATGGGATCTGTAACAAAATGTTCTTTTTTCCTAACAAAGTACTTTGCAAAAATTCCTACTACTAAATTTTTAAGTTGTGCTTTCAGCTTTAGCTTCATTAAAGGATGTCCATAGGAACATCTGCAAATGGTAACAAGACCAAGACCTGCATTGTTCCTTTTAACAACCACATGGTTGTGCCTGAATCTCTCCCTTCTTCTCTGTCTGATCTTTTTTCCCCTGTGCATTAAAAGGCTGAAGTTTTTGGCAACACTGGCAACACTGCACCATCTCCAAGCTGTATGCTACTGCCAGTAGGCAAGTTCTGTTCGTGTGCTTGTTTAACCAGCATGACAAGAATTAGCTGTTCCTATAGAGAACCAGCTCTTGCCCTTCTAGCTTCTGCAAAGAACTCACCATTAAAACATGCTAAGAAATGTGTGTTCATGTCCTGTTTGCTCTAATTGAAATTACTGGAAAAACTTGAGTTGGGCTTCACTAGATGTCCATGTGCAGAGAAGGGCCAGACCTAAATTCATGATGTCATATGAACGAGGGAGTAAAAGAGCTACTCATCATTTAAATGTTGACTGGCAAATGCCTCTGCATCTGACACTTACTAAGCACCTTTGTAATTTGAAAGCTGTTAGTGATTTATCATTTAGTGAGGGACTCATCTTTACCACCAGCAGAGGTTGGCAGTGGTATAAAGCAGTGTCCCGGAAGTGTCTAATTTGAATTCCACTCTTTAGAAAATGGCAGCTTTGACCACACGTGATGTTCCTTAGAAAGTACCATTGACTGCATAATTAAACAATCATCCCTGATCAGAGGACTTACTTAGATCTGAATGTGCTACTTCAAACACAACACTAAGAGGTGGTAGCTGGAACTAAGGAGGGTGCCTTTAATTCACTAATGCCTAGTTCTTCATCTTTTCTGATCTGCAGTCCTTTAAATATTCCCAGAGGCAGCACATGCATCTGTATAGGGAATCTTGAGCCCACAGACACTCAGCTTACTTCTCTTTGTCCTTGCCACATGTCCTCAGCAGCCCAGTAACTGTTGGAACTAATCACAGGATCATCTAATTACAGTCTCCTTCTCATAGATTTCCTTGGTCGATGAGCTGAAGACTTGGTGCATGTTGAAGATTCAGAATCTGGAGCTCAAGCTGTCTGGAGATTCCAGGTCATCAAGACCAAAATCAACTTTGTCCACTTGTGAGTCTCTCA